AAGGGGTACGGATTGCTAGAGATGTGTTTTCCCCAGCCCAGGCCGGCTTAGCAGCAAAGGGAAAGGGACAGAGATGGGGCCAAAAGGGAGCGAGTCCTAGAAAGCCGGGTTTGGGCGTGTGCCTCTTTCCAAAACCCTCATTAACTTGCTGAGCAATTACCCGGCCCCGCGGGAGTCGCTGTCGCGGAGCCACTGTCTCTCTGTCCTCTCAGAAGCAGGAATTGGGCAAAGAGGGCGGCGCTGGGCCACTCGCTTAGTGGTGGAAACTGAGGCCCCAGGAGGCGATGAGCCTTGATACAGAAACTGCAGGAGCCTGCAGCCCCGGGGCTGGCATCCACCCACCCCGCCGCCAGGGAGCGCGCGGTGGGGGGTGCGGCACTCTAAACCCCTCGCTTTTCTTGAGGCTCAGCCTCAGCTCCCGCCCCCATCCATCCCGAAGCGCAGTCCTTCCTCTCCAGCCTCAGCTTCCCCAACCCAGCCCGGGGAGGGCGGGCGGGTGGTGTGTGTGCGTAGGGCGGGGAGTGGGGGGATGGGGTGTGTGTATGGGAGAGCAGGGGTGGGAGGCTGGGTAGCGGGATTCCCCACGGAAAAGCAGCCCAATCCCTCCCTCGGCCTGTTCGAGACCCTGAACCGAAACAGGAGGCAGGACGCCCCTGGCCGGGAAGCGGCCCCAGCCCGGATTTCCCTCGCGGGTGGGGCTGCAATGACTCATCCCCCTCCCCCTTCCCCCGGTTTCCTTGTTTGCATTTCTCCGCCCGGCCACGTGGCGGCCGGTGCAAGCCTCTCGCCGCCGCTACCCGGACACCCTGGCCCTGCTGCCCCGGCACACACCCCAGGGCTGCTCCTGCCCCCGAGGTTTCTCAGGGCTCCGGCTCGTGCCCGCTCTGCGTACCCGAGTCCGGCGGGACTCCACCCCTGCGGGTCCCCGGCCCTACGCCCTCCCCTACAGTAACGCCGGGCGTCTCCTCCCCGCCCCCTCGGCCTGTCCGGGAGGGGAAGGGGGCGGGCAGCGCAGGGGGTGTGACAGCTCCCGCCCGGACCAGTGCCAGCTGCAGCCTCGCTTCAGTGCCCCGTGCCAGCTGGCTCTTTCGACTGGGACGGAGGCGAAGGCTCGGGGCTCCTTGTCGCTGGGGGAGGGGGGACTTCCCCCAACGCCCCCAGCCCTCTACCCACCCAAGAGGAGCCTCTCCACCCAGCTCTGCCTCTGGCTGCTCTGGCAGCCGGGCTAGCTGGAAATTGGCTCTGGTCACTGCGCCTGGGACTTAGAAGCCCTCACCCCTCCAGGATCCCTCTATTGGAGCTGACGGGGCTCGCCGGGGGTCCCCTCAGCCTTTTGCTAGAGCCTGCATGGTTGGGCGAGCTTGAGAAGGAACATGAAGGTGGGTAAGGTGGGGGGCAGGGGCAAGGACTAGCAGGAGAGGAAGCTGACACGGTGGGGAGTTTGGGTGGGAGAGAGCGTTGGGCAGAGGTGAGGGAGGAGGGGAGAAAAAGGGCTTGAGCTGAAGCTGCATTGCTGGGGAATCAAGTGAGTCCATCGCCTCATACTGGGAGGTGGTGGAGATCCCCACAGGGACTTGGGCAGCGGGGTGGGGCAGAAGTCCAAAGAAGACCGGGAAGGAGCGCACGATCTCCCGCCAGCTGGAGACCCCTAAGTGCGCCAGACCGGCAGGCCCCAGTGAAGGTCTTCCTGTCCCTCCCCCTGCTCCTGGCAAGGTTGCGTGAGCACCACCGCCAGACTAGTCCAGCATACTCTAAGGAAGTGGTGCTGCCTGGGGCAGTTGTGCCCTGGTCTAGCTGCCCCAGCCCCATGGCTGTCTGCCTTCCTCTTCTGGTCACAGGTGGGCTGGCCAGGTGAGAGCCGCTGGCAGGTGGGCCTGACTGTGGAGGACAGCCCAGCTCTGGGAGCGCCACAGGTGGGAGGCCTTCCGGACGTGGTGCCAGAGGGGACCCTGCTCAACATGGTGCTGAGGAGGATGCACAGGCCCCGAAGCTGCTCCTACCAGCTGCTCCTGGAGCACCAGCGCCCCAGCCGCATTCAGGGGCTTCGCTGGGTGAGTGCCAATAGTTTGCAGAGGCCAGGGACCAGGGCTGGAGGGGGTCTGGTCTGGGAGCATGGGCCTACTACAGTTGGCCCAGCTTGCTCTGGGGGAGTAGGGGTTACTGCTGGGTGGACAGTGGGTCAGGCAGCTTGGCTGCAGTGTGTGTGGGTGGCTCACACAGCTGCACCGAGTGTGTCTGTGTGCGTGTGGTGCCCAAGTGCCCCCTTTCAGGATTGGAGAGAAGAGGCAAGGGATTTGTCATTTATCTATCACCTCTCTGTGCCTTGGGTTAGGTGCTTGTGTGCTCTCCAGGTGGGGGTGAGAGTCATGCATGAAATACTGGAGGCCAAGTCAAGTGGGGGTGAGGTAAGCTTGTTTGCTGTTCTCGATACATCACCGTGGCAGCATTCTTACTGAACTGCATGGATTCTTTTCGATCTTGGGGTGAGGTGGTCATGTGAACACTGCTTGGCATCTGGCTTTGGTGGGGAGGGGCTCAGGGATGGATTCTGAGAAGTTTGGAGAATCTGAGATGACTAGCGCTCGCTTTGACAGTGAAAAACACCTCTGGAACTACAAGGGTGAAGGAGAGAGCAGGAGGGCGAATGGTGGGGTGGGGTGCAGGATAATAGTTGCAGGATCGAAATCAGCAGAGAAGATTTCCCAAACCACCAAGACTTACCTTGGGGTGAGGTGGTCATGTGAACACTGCTTGGCATCTGGCTTTGGTGGGGAGGGGCTCAGGGATGGATTCTGAGAAGTTTGGAGAATCTGAGATGACTAGCGCTCGCTTTGACAGTGAAAAACACCTCTCGGAAACTAAGGGTGAAGGAGAGAGCAGGAGGGGCGAATGGTGGGGTGGGGTGCAGGATAATAGTTGCAGGATCGAAATCAGCAGAGAAGATTTCCCCAACCACCAAGACTTACTAGAGTGGCTTCACCTGAGATTCAGTGTCTCATGTGTGCCCATCTGTGTGTGGGGGTGCCGGGAGTGCACTTGGGTAAAGGGATAGAGGGGTGCTGGGGAAGCAGGAGCGGATAACAGACTTGGGACAGCTCATCTCTTATGGACAAGTCCCACGGAGTAGAGTGACCACCACCTTCTGCCTCCTTTCTCCTACTTCTCCCAACCAGTATTTATATTTACCAAAACATGAGGCTGAGTTGAGGAAACTGAGACCCACCAACATGAGGGAGTCCTCCTCACAATCTGAATTGATAGGAGAATCTAGGTAGCAGTCCCCAACCCCTCCCTCCCAGGGTCTTTCTGATAAGGGGCCTCTTGGGTCTGGGTCCTGCTCAAGAAGGGGCTGTAGAGGGCCAGGGGAGCCAGTCACTCCTGGACTTAGCTGTTTCCCCTACCCTCTCCTGGTCACTGGCAGTAGCTATTGCTTGGAGCCAGTGAGCTGGAACACTCCCTCCCTCCTTCCCTCTCAGGCTATAATTACTTGTGCATTTCCTGTCCCCTTCCCAGCTTGTAGAGGCAAGGTGGGGAGTGGGGGGAAGGTCAGGTGCCAGGACAATGAGGTCACTGGAGGATCCCTTGGGACTCAAAGTCTGGGAGGGGATGGAGGAGGCCGCCAGGCTGTCTCCTGACTCCCTCAGCCCCCCAGAATGGAAGGGCTGGTGTGCTTGGGGAGGCCGGAAGGGTGGGGGTGAGGGTTGCTGGAGTGCAAATGGGGTCAAAGGCACAAAAACAAGGCTGCTCCCCTACCATGGAGGAGAGCAAATGGGGATTGGTGATTAGAGGGAACTTAGATTTTTAGGGCTAGGGGCAAGGGCCATACCCTCTCCTGATGACTGTCTCTGGGGAATGGGGGTGGAGTGGTTTCATCCCATTGCGTCTGTGTTTAAGAGGCTCTGGGTACCTGTAAAGCTGTACCTCTGATCTCTGATGATGCCTTTGGTCCATGAAAAGCTCACATGAGGGACAAGTGCCAGGCAGGGAGTATGCAGGGTGGAGGGTGATGTTGTGAGGTGGTGGAGCTCAGAGTCCCAGGAGGATGGTGTCGGGAGTGATACAGGCCATGCCTACCTCTTAGAAAACCAAGGAGGAAACCCATCAACCTCTCGAGGCCTGAAGAGGGCACTTTCTGTTCCTACTAGACCAGTGAAAATGAAAGCAGGTTACAGCAGGAGGGCCTGAGGTTAGACACAGAAAGGACTTACCAACCCTGGCAAAGGTGACCTTGGAATGAGATGGAAGTATATCTTCTTTGAAAAACACGAAGGGGAGAGGAGAGTGTCTGGTGTCTGGGAGTGAACAGAGGGATCCTTCTGTTTAGAAGCAGGGGGCAAGATCAGGATGACCTCTGGTGGGTCCCACGAGCTCAGAGAAGCCTGGGATGCTTCTCTTTGATTATTTTGGGGGTGGTGTCCTTGTGCTCTAACTCAGAAAACTTGCTTCATCCAACTTGTCCAAATAATTGTAGTAGCTAATAGTTTTCTAGTATTTATGTCCTAGCTACTATTATAAGAGCTTTACCTTTATCATATTAAATAATCTCACAATAGCCCTATGAGATAGGTACTAATGTCATCAGCTCATTTGAGAGATGAGAAAACAGGCACAGAGAGGCTAAGTGACAGGTCTGGGGTTACACAGCTGCTAAGGGACAGAGCTGGATAATCTGGCTGCAGAGTCCAAGCTCAGGGTATACTTCCTCTTACTGCAGATGGTAACGCTGACACCCTAAAGCATCCCCCCACCCCATGCATACTTTCCCTGTCCTACCACTCATAGGCCTGGCCTGAGACCCTAGCCATGGCCTAAAGGAACTGGTCTGACAGGTCCCCATGTGCCTCTCTGGCTCTGTGCCTGCCCCACCAGTGGGACTCTGACACTCAGCGACAGGGAGGGAGGGTAGGGCAGTCCATGGCGATGGTGCCAGGGGAGCTAGCTAGCACCTCCTCTTCTACCCTGAGTCATTACTGTGCAGGCATGAGAGGAGGCGGGGTGGGCAAGGGCCTTTATCTCAATTCATACCAGCTACTTCTTTCCAACTGAGAACCCATAAGCTGACACTCAGAGTCATCAGATTAGGGTCAGGGTCAACCAAAGAACATTTCTTGCACTATGCCCAGGTAATAGGTGCCCATTATGAAATAATGACGTTTAATTAAGTTATTTAACATTCATTAAGCAGTTACTACAAGCCAGGCACTGCTCCATGTGCTTTCTATTATTGACTTGTTTGATCTTCATAATAACTCTACGGGGTAGGTACTATTATCACCAACCCCATTTTATAGGTGAGGAAACTGAGGCACAGAGAGGTTAATAAACAGCCCAAGGTCACACGACCAGCTGGTAATGGGAGAACCAGGATTTGAACCTAGGCATCCAGCTCCGAAGCCCACACACTTGACCACTGCCCCTGAACAGTACCCCTACCCTTATCCTAGGAAGTTCCCAGTGCACAGGAACATGGTAGGGGCCCAGAGGGACTATAACGAACCTTGTTTAACCTAGTGTTTTCCAAGCTTACTTGCCCATGGAACGGTCCTGTAGAGGCAGAATACCTCTACTATCTCAGCTTCCATGGCACAGCGTGGGAAATACGGGGTAGGTGCCATGGAGATGGCAGGGCATAGTGGCTAAGTGCATGCGCTTTGGAAGCAGACAGGCATGGTGTGAATCCTGGTACTTCCGTTTACCAACTCTCAGGGCAGGTTATATAACCTCTGAGCCTCCTTCTCTCTAATGTTTGAAATAGGAGACAAACGCCTACTTTCAGGCTCTGCCTTGGTAGCAGCTATTCAGTAGGATCTTCCATTTCTAAGCAGTGTGTGACTCTGGGTAAACTACTTCATCTCTGGGCACCTGCTTTCCTAGGCAAAATGAGAGGGAGAGCTTTAGGTCCCTTCCTCAGCTCTGATGGGCCAGAGCCTCCAGCCTCTGGCCCTTGTGCTCATCCCCTAGGGCAGGACAGGAAATGGTTTGAGCAAAGCCTGTGGATCTGGGACCTAGGTTGTGACCAGCCTGGCCTCATGACTTGGCACGTCCCCTCCTGATATGCCCTCTGGGGTCAGAATAATACCAGGAAGGGAACGGTGCTGAAGCCTGGGTTGTGGGCATCAAAGGGGGTTGGGGCAGGGACTGAGGCCACCTGGGCATTTTGAAATGAACAACAACAAGTCATTAGCATTCAGCACTGTTTGTTCCGACACAGGGGCTGGCTGGGTAGCCTTCCTGCCCTTCTTCCTATCCCAACTCCTCCTCCTCCTCCTCATTTCCTGTTGCTAAGTCTCCAGAGCTGTGTCTGGCACTGGGCTAAGCCCCATGACCCAGGCAGGGATACCCTTGGGACACCTAGTGACTTCTGTCCAGCGCTGGGCCAGGCACCTATACACACCAGCCTCAGGCCTCTGCCTGGCACACGGTGGGTGGAAGACGCTGGGACCAGGGGAAGGGATTCTGGCCCTAGGCCTGGTTATACCCCAACTCCCCGGCCAGGTTTTTTTCAGGGACCTGAGAGCAGATGGGAAAGCAGGAGAGAGAGTACTGGTAAGAAGGGGGAAGAGAGGCAAGAGGCAGGTGTGGTGGGTGGAGTGAGACCAAGAATGTGAGCACTTCTGGTAGGAACTCGAGTTTATCCATGGCTATCTGGCTGTCCCAAGTATGTGTGACTGAGTTATCTGGGGCACTTCGCCTCAAGAGTTTTGTTTCCTCATAAATCAAAGAGGACAGATAATACCTGCCCTGCCTAGTTCACATCTGATCCTGTTTAATATGGGATCAGAGGGAATCACAGAGATGCTCATGCTTCGTAAACTGTAAAATGCTCTGCGTTAAGGAGGTTTCTTAGAGGGTAGGGCATCCTGTCCAGAGATGTCTGCAAATTCTCATTCTCAGGTGGCAGGAAAAGAAGGATCGGGAGGGGGCTTGCATGGTCCATATCCTAGGGTGCACAGGCTGGGGAGTCCTGGATGGCTCGATTGATACCAAAGGCAGGAAACTTTGTTAGCCAATGTTTCTACATAAACCCTGTCTTCCGGAGCCCATCCTGTGTGCCACCAGGCCTTACTCATTCTTTGCGGGTTATGGACTAGCAGCAGCATTTCAGAGAAGAAAGGGGCCTTCCAGCAAGCAGCCGCCCTTTGCTGTACAGATGAGTAATAATAGCTAACATGTACATACAACAGTATGCCAGGTAGTGCTTTGAGCATTCGATGTGTATTAACTCACGTAATCCTTCCAAAAGCCTGAATTGGTATTATGAGTGTTTTATAGATTTTATGGACAAGGAAACTGAAGCAGGGAGAGGTTAAATCATTTGTTCGGGTTTGCACCCCTAGTAAATGGAGGAGTAGGGATTTGAATCCAGGAGCCTGGTTCCAAGGTTTGTGATAACTACCAGGCTACACTGAGGCCCACGCAGGGCAGGAGGTTGACCCACAGTCCTGTGGTTGGGGATGAACCCTGACTAGGGACCAGGCCTTGTGACCCCAGCCCAGGAGCAAGTATTCCAGGCCTCCCAAGCCTCTCACTACCTGGCCCGTCATGGGCCTTCTTATCTCACAGCCTCATGTTCTTCTAGGTGTGGTTTATCTGGGAGCCTGGACACACCTGGGCCCTGAGTAAGCAGAAGGGGGATCCTGAGGTTTTCAACTGTGGTGATGCAGAGCTTGGGTCTGGAAGGAAGACAAGGGTCTGGTGATAGGGTAGCGGAGTAGGGAAGAGGTGATGTCAGGCACATGAGGTGCTCAGTGAGCATTTGTTTACAGTTGTCCTCCCTTATCCACAGGGGATACATTCCAAGACCCCCAGTGGATACCTGAAACCGTGGATAATTCCAAACACTATAGATACTATGTTATTACCTATACATACATAGCTTTTCACTTAAAGGAAGCACTTTACAGCTTTTCTTTGGCATGTCTGAATCACCGGCATTACGACTCTTGTGTTTTGGGGCCATTATTAAGTAAAATAAAGGTTACATGAACATAAGCACTGGATACCATGACAGTGGATCTGATAACTGGGACAGTTCCAAACACTATAGATACTATGTTTTTACCTATACATACATACCTTTTCACTTAAAGGAAGCACTTTACAGCTTTTCTTTGGCATGTCTGAATCACCGGCATTACGACTCTTGTGTTTTGGGGCCATTATTAAGTAAAATAAAGGTTACATGAACATAAGCACTGGATACCATGACAGTGGATCTGATAACTGGGACAGCTACTACTAAGTGACAAATGGGTCGCTAGCGTACTCAGTGTGGATACGGTAGACAAAGGGATAATTCACGTCCTGGGGGACAGTGTGAGATTTCATCATGCTACTCGGAATGGTGCACAACTTAAACCTTATGAATTGTTTATTTCTGAAAATTTCCATTTAATTATTTCAAACCACGGTTGAGTGCAGGTGACTGAAACCTCAGAGAACAAAACCACAGATAAGGGGATACTACTGTATTTGGTGATGAGTAGCTAAATGGATGTGTTTGGAGTCAGGGACTGGATAAGGGGTGGGAAAGATGGGGGAGGGGGCTCCAGGAGTCGGATTTGAAGGCCTGGCGCTAACACGCAGACTCTTCCCACTGCCCTCAGACGCCTCTCACCAACAGCGAGGAGTCCCTGGATTTCAGTGTGAGCCTGGAGCAGGTATAAGCCTGAGGGTAGGCCTGGGAGGGGGCAGCATGACCAGGGGGTCAGGGCCTGAGCCAGCTATGCTGCTTCCTCTTCCAGGCGTCCACAGAGCGGGTGCTCAGGGCTGGGAAGCAACTGCATCGACATCTCCTGGCCACCTGCCCGAACCTCATCCGAGACCGAAAGTACCATCTTAGGCTCTATCGGTGAGTGGAGGCCTTGCCTGCCTCCTCACCCACCCCCTCTATTTCTCTTCCTTTCGTTCTATTCCAGGCATCTGGGTTTGGCTCTACTAGCAGAACTGGGGCTGGGCCTAAGAATGTCCCTTTTGGATGGAAAGTTCCTCCCTCTCCCTTCCTGCCACTTGAGTCTCCTTTTTTTCTGTCCCCTTCAACTTTTATAGGCAGTGCTGCTCCGGCCGGGAGCTGGTGGATGGGATCTTGGCCCTAGGGCTCGGGGTCCATTCCCGGAGCCAAGCCGTGGGAATCTGCCAGGTGCTGCTGGATGAAAGTGCCCTCTGCCATGGTGAGACTGAACTCTGGGCTAGGCACCCGGGGCCAGGCAGTCCTGCGGAGCAGGTGTCTAGATGTGAGGAGGGGTGGGCCTTGCAGTGGGGCCTCATACCTACATGGCCTAATTTGCTCTCCTCCACCACGCCGGGGCCTCTGCCCCCCAGTGAAACACGACTGGACCTTCCAGGACCGAGACACCCAATTCTACCGCTTCCCTGGGCCAGAGCCGGAGCCAGTGGGAGTCCACGAGCTAGAGGAGGAGCTGGTCGAGGCCATGGCCCTGCTCTCCCAGCGGGGGCCTGATGCCCTGCTCACAGTGGCACTGCGAAAGTCGTGAGTCAGCACTCTGCACCCTGAGACCCAGGTCCCACTTGCCTCCCAGACTTTATGGTTCTCAGTTTCATCTCCAAGGGAAACCTTTACTTTTTGCTGAGGGAAAGGACCTTGGCTGGACTAGAGGCCTGAGCTCTGGTCTGCATTCTGCCACAGATTTGCTGTATGATCTGAGCCCTCCTTCCTGGCACTGAACCTGCTTCTTCCTCTGTAACTGAGGCTGTGGGGCATGTGGCCTCCTAAGACCCTGCCCACTCTGAGGGGCAGCAATGGCCGAGAGAGGATGGCCTTTGGAGTCAGCAGGCAGGTCTGGGTTCGAATTCCAGCTTCACTAGCTACTAGCTGGGTGACCTTGGGCCTCTCCCTGCCAGCTTCCTCTTCTGTCAAAGAAGGATAAGAATACCCACGTCATGGGGTTGTCATGAAGGCAGATTGAGATGATGCATGTGAAGCACTTAGTCCCAGGTCTGGTACAGAGTGTGTACCTGGAAAAGGCCGGCTACTTACTGATAACGATCCCTGCTGAGGCACTGGCTGGCCCCAGGTCCGTGCTTGGTGGGTGAAGTGGCCCTTGACCCTGGCCTCAGGCCCACAATTCATTCTTTGCTTCCCGGCCCTCCCGTGCCTGAAGCCCGGGGCAGCGCACAGACGAGGAGCTGGACCTCATCTTTGAGGAGCTGCTACACATCAAGGCTGTGGCCCACCTTTCCAACTCGGTCAGTTCGCAGAGCCCCATCCCCCCTTTCCCCAGGAGCATCCTCTTCCTGTGACCACCCCTAGGGGGCTCCAGCTGCTGGGCCGGATGACACTTTCCTCCCCTTCCACCTATGGCTTAAGAATTTCTATCTGATTTCCTGCCCCAGCATCCTTGTCTGAAAGTCCTCTGCTGCTCTTAGCCCATTTCCTTCCCTTGCTTTCATCTCCCGCCGAATCTCAGGCCACCTGACCTGGCCACGTCTCTCCCCCTGAGCACCCATGTCTTTGGACCCTACCTCTTCACCCCCTGGACTCAACCACTGACCTTCCTCTCCCTGCCCCACAGGTGAAGCGGGAATTAGCGGCTGTTCTTCTCTTTGAACCACACAGCAAGGCGGGGACTGTGTGTAAGTCAAAGAGTTGAGGAACGCTGGGCACGAGGTGTGGGGTGGGGCCTGGACATGGGTGGAGGGCGCAGAGAAGAGCTGGGTGCCAGGGTTGGGTCTGATCTCTACTTCTCTCAGTGTTCAGCCAGGGGGACAAGGGCACCTCGTGGTACATTGTCTGGAAAGGATCTGTCAACGTGGTGACTCATGGCAAGGTGAGTTCTCCCTTCCTCCCCAGACCCCTGGGTTGTAACTGCTCCCTGGCCCGTGTCCTCGTGGGCAGTGCCTTTGCTGGACCCAGGATGCCGATCCCTGAGGTCTTCTGCCCTGGTGCTTCTCCCCACCATGGGTCTGGTTCATGAAGGCTGGGGGAGTGCGTGGGCTGTGACTAAGGCCTGGCCGCAGGGGCTGGTGACCACACTGCACGAGGGAGATGACTTTGGACAGTTGGCTCTGGTGAACGATGCACCCCGGGCGGCCACCATCGTCCTGCGAGAAGACAACTGTCATTTCCTCCGTGTGGACAAGCAGGACTTCAACCGTATCATCAAGGTGCCATTGCTGGGGGTGGGGAGGGGCAGGGACATGGCAAGGACACTTCCCTGGAGACGTGGTGTGGGGCAGGAGGAGGGACCAGAGACAGCCTGTGAGGAGCAGGAGAGAGAGCTCGGAGATGGTGGCCGGGGTGGGAGCATAGCCTGGGTGCTTGAGGAGGTCCGTGGCATGAGCTCTGTGAACTCTGGGGGCAGTGTAATGGGGAGTGGGATCATGGACGAAAGCCAGGGTGGGATGGGCTGGAGGAGGGGCTAAGGTTCCATATAGGACACGGGTGGGAGTGCAGGAACATCCGAGCTGTGGGCGGTGAGTGGGGTGGTAGAAGGGCTGAGGGTCCTTGTGGGACTCAGGGTCTGGAATGGGGGAGGTGGGGGGAGAGGCCCTATATTGGGGAAAGGAGTCATGGTGTGTGCCGAGCATCAGGTGTGGCTCGTTCTCTAGGATGTGGAAGCAAAGACCATGAGGCTGGAAGAACATGGCAAAGTGGTGTTGGTGCTGGAGAGAACCTCTCAGGGTGCTGGCTCTTCTTGCCCCCCAACCCCAGGCAGGAACCGGTAACACACGTACCATGCTCCCACTTCACCCCTTCTCCTTCCATTTCCCGGGTTTTACTCCCTTCCCCATGTCATAGCCCTGTGCGTTGGTCTCCTGGGGGTGGAGAGGCATCCAGGAACTAAGATGCACCCCCTGAGATGCACCCCCAAGGTGGGGCAGGGCTGGCAAATAGGGAAGAGTGATGTGACTGATTATTGATGCCTGCCCCGGCTGTGGGAGGGGGCAGTGGTGGCACGGATGCTTGGAGTGGCTGTTTTCGCCAGGTACACGGTGATGTCTGGCACCCCAGAGAAGATCCTGGAGCTGCTGCTAGAGGCCATGCGGCCTGACTCCAGTGCTCATGACCCAACAGGTAGGGGCAGGAGACACCTTGCCTGCTCTCTGACTAATTGGGTGGTCAGCACAGGCTGGGAGAGGGCCAGGCACCTGCATCTGATGTCATCGGGTGCTGGATTGTTATGTGGGGCCAGCCGGCAGGAAGTCCTCATTCCTGTGCTCTTGGCTTGGGTGGGGAACGTGGTCACAGGGGCTGGGCATCGCTGGTACCTTGCTCGTGGTAGGATTGAGTGAGGGACACCCCAGCTGTACCTGTACCTGTGCTTAGTGGACTTGACCTCTGAAGCCCCGCCTGTCCCCACGTCCCCACCCTACAGAGACATTCCTCAGCGACTTCCTCCTGACCCACAGCGTCTTCATGCCCAGCACCCAGCTCTGTGCTGCCCTCTTGCACCAATATCCTTTTTGCCTCAAGGTGACTGGGATGGTGTGTAGAGTAGGGAGAAGGAATTGCTCACAGCATGGCTGTGCCAAACCTTCTGAAGTACCAGGCACATGTCAGGCCCAGGTTGTCAGCAGGCCCTGGGCATCCTGCTCCTCCTTGACCCAAGGCATAAAGGGTGGTTGGACGTTGTGGTTCCCTTGACTGGTGCCCACCTTTCACGTGGAGCCCGCAGGAGGCAGTGAGCAGGAGCGCAGCACCTACATCTGCAACAAGAGGCAGCAGATCCTGAGGCTGGTCAGCCAGTGGGTGGCCCTGTATGGCCCCATGCTCCACACTGACCCTGTGGCCAGCAGCTTTCTTCAGGTACCTGGGAGTGAGGCAGGGCTGGACCAGGCTGCCCGGGTGGACAGCATCTCAGTGAATCTTGGCTCCTCCCAGAAACTCTCAGACCTGGTGAGCAGGGATGCCCGGCTTAGCAACCTGCTGCGGGAGCAGTGGCCAGAGAGGCGGCGACACCACAGGTGATGCTTTGGCTCTCAGTTAACTTGTCATTTGCAGGCCAGGCAGTGCCTCGGGGACTGGGAACACCAACTCTGGACTCAAACACGTGGCTTTAAATCCAGGCTGCACCACTTAGGGCTGTGCTGCTCTGAGCACGTTACCTGCCTCCCTCTCAGGGCTTCGGGTTCTTGTCTGTAAACTGGGAGAGCACTTACCTCATCGCATGGATGGGATGAGTTACTGCACATTCAGAGCTCAGAGCAGCGCCTCGCCCATGGCGTGTGCCATGCAAGTGTTGGCTATGGTTGCTCATTTGTCTAGTCCTGCTCATTTCAATTAGTTGTTCTCACCTGTCCTCTTGCTGTTCACTCTCACATCACGTGCTCAGTCATTTTCACACATCACAGTCATTCGTGTGTCATTCTCCTATTTCAAGTGCACCTGCTATTCTCACTTCCTCCATTCTTCACATATTTATCATCGGGCACCATTGGCGCCAGTTCCTTCCGGCCCCACCCAATATATTTCCTAGAGTCTACCTTCCCCTTCCCAGACCTTTCCATGGGGCAGCTGAGGTTCAGGGAGAGCTCACTGGAACCAGTGCCTGCTCCACTTGACACCCAGGTCCATTCCCTCTTGAACTCCTTTTCCATCCCCTGCTGGCCTGGGAAAATCACAGAATCCAGAGTCCTGGTTTCAGCCCCAGCTTTGCCCCTTTCTAGGTAATGGTCACCGAGAGCCTCGAGCGAGGGTGGTTGGGATCCAGAACGCAAGGCTCCTGACCCTGTGATATCCTGCCTGCGGGGTTCTCTGGCCTCCAGCCTCACCTCCCTTCTTATTTGCCCCATAGGTTGGAAAATGGCTGTGGGAATACATCTCCTCAGATGAAGGTGTCTGCTCTGAGTCGGCTCCTCTTACGTCTGTTGGCCCCTGCTTCTTTCTTCTGCTCCTCCAGGGACCATATGGCCTCTCCTTCAGCCCCCATCCGAGGGGCTCTGTGTGGGCAGGTTCCCCATGCACAGACCCACCCTTGGATCTGGGATGGGTGTTCACATGGGCTGTGTGTGGTGCTGGGGCCAGGTCCTACAGGGATACTGAGGTCTAAGGTCACCCCTCCACTGCACCCCAAAGGGCTTCTATTCTGTGTGGGAGGTAATTTATGCTCACACTTAGAGCAAGTTGGCAGTTCTCACCTGGGAGGTGAGACTCGGTGCCTGAAAGCAGCCTCTGACACCCAGCCATTCCTGCCAGAGGAAGGCAGGTCCTTCCTGGGTGTCAGAGGTGCCCAGTGGCAGGGGTCCTGGGGAGCAAAGGGGAACAAGAAGAGGCGACGAGCTAAGAACTGGTTGAGGAATGGTGAGAGAAAGGACTGGAAAGGTAGGTTGGGGCCTGTTCTAAGGAGTGCTGCTTTGGGAATAAAATCCAAATGCCTCACCTTGGCCTTCTAGGTTCCCCGTGCCCAGCTGCCTCTTTTATTTCATCCTGTCCTGCTTCGACCTGTCGGAGATGCTTTTGGGCTTTTTTTCTTCTATAGACAAAACTTGTTTCCACCTCAGGGCCTGGAACTTTCTTTCTCTGGTTCTTTGCCTACCGGGATCCTTCTTATCATGTTGAGCTCAGCCAAAATGTTGGGTTCCCAGGGAGGCCCCCTCCCATCTCTCTATCCAGAGCACCCCCTCCCACTGGCCACTGCCCTCAAAGGTGTCCGCTTTGATTTTCTTCAAAGCATTATTACCATATGGAGCTGTTTTATTTGTCTAGTTGCTTACTGGTTGTTAATATCTGTCACATCCCACTAGTCTGCTGACTTCACATGTGAGGGGCCTTGACCTCTGTTTCCCCTGGGCCTGTGGCTGATGCTCAGGAACTAGCATGGAATGGCCCTCATGTGCTGGACACTGTGCTAGGATCTGACATACAGTGGTGGGCTGGGAGAGCCACCCTTGGCCTTGAGGGGCTTATAGTCAAGCAAGGCACAGAGCTGCTGAATAAACTCATGCCTTCTAAGGGCCAAGACAGGGGTCTCTGAAAGCAAGGAAGGGAGGGGCTGGCTCACGGTCAGAGTTGGGGGGAGCATCCTGGGAAGTGACTGCTGGAGCTGAGAGCTACAGGGTGAGGTTGGAGGGAGAGGAAGACTCTAGGCAGGTATGAGGGGCAGGGGAGCCCAGCCATTAAGAGCCCTGGAGGAGGGTGTGCTAGAGGGGACACCAGGGGACACCAGGGAGGTGAGCAGGGGCCAGAGCATGCAGGGCCCTGTGGGCCAGCGTGAGGGGTTTGGTCCTTATCCTCAAAGCAATTGAGCCATTGGAGGTATTTGAGCCAGAGACTGACAAGATCAGATTTGTCTCGATTAGGTCAGCTAAGCAGCCTGTGCTTATCCACCAGACGGCAATGCCCTTGAGCCCAGTTAGGAAGCTTCATCTGGCTCTGGTCAGGCAGAAAGTTTGGGCCGTTGTAATAGATAAGGTGTGAGGATATGTGGGGGGTTGGCCTGGGCTGGGGAAGGGGATGCAGAGAGACGCATTTCAAAGAACAGTCCTAAGACAAAGTGAAAAGCTGTGGGGAAGTGGAGGAGGCAGGAGCCTTGAGCCCAGGAGAATGACCAGCAGGAGTGGTCTGGGAGGCAGGATGAGGGGATCTGAGGGATGTGCTCACTTTGGGGTGATGGAGCACAGTTGCAAAAGAATCCAGGAGGCACTCGAGACCATGGCTTGGAAGAGAGTTCAGTGCTGGTGGTGTTTTGAGAGAGAGAGAGGTATGAGAGAGGCTGTGAGGCACTTCAAAGAGAGCTCTGACATTTGGAAATCTCACAAAGAACCATGGGCTGAGGTCTGAACCCGACCTGCCACATTCAGAACTGGGAAGATGAGAGTCAGTACAGGAGTTGGAAAAGGCAGTCGGGGTGGGCAGAGGGACTGTGTTAGGGAAGCCTTTGCCCAGCAAAGGCTGCCCCATCAGCCCACTGTGGTTGAGGCCCACAGAGGAAGGGTTGTGGGGTTTGACAGGGCAGTTGACTCGGTTGAGTGTTGGTGGTTAAGAGCACAGAGGGAGGGAGGAGCAGGTTAGGATCCAGCTAGGCTTTACCTTGGGGATGTTCTTAACCTCTCTGAGCCTCATTTATGTCATCTAGAAAATGGGAATAATAGTGTTTTTGTCAAAGAGCTTTTGTAAATATTTAGATCCTTAGAACTAGCCTGTACTTAGCCCAGCATGTAGCAAATGGCAAACTAGCAAATGGTGGCTGAGGTAGGAAAAGGAAGAGAAAACCAGGGTCAACACCTGAGGTGTGTTCCTATTAGAACAGCTCCGGGCCTATTTGGCAGAAGGGTTAAATACACATAGAGCGGCAGGCGCACACTTGTTCTTAGCCCTGTTCTGTCTCTCATGAAGCTTCAGTCTCCAGCACCTTACCTGGCTCAGGTTCATGCAGCAAGCAGAGCCTGCAGGGGTTGTGCATGCTGTGTGAGTCCTATGCTTCTGGTGACAAAGGCCCCTCCCCGGCCCTGCAGGCTGTCATCTGTGTCCTCTGGGTCTTACTTTCTCTCCCTCTCAGGCCCGGAACATGCCTGCTTGGCTCCCCAGCCAGGACGAGCCCCTCCCCAGCAGCAACTGTGCCATCCGAGTTGGGGACAAAGGTTGGTGGTCTGAGCCAGCCAGAGCATAGCCCACACACTGCTGTCATCATTCTTGACCGTGCCGTGCCTAGTGGAGGATGGCATGCTGTTCTCCTTGGGGCCTCCGTTCCAGATTCCCCCTCACCTCAGCTCAGGGCCTCCCACTTGCTCTGCGCAGCCTGCCCACCCGGCTTCTCAGCACCCTTGCCCATCCTTGGGACCCCTCCTACTGCTTGCTGCCATCTCCCTCCTGGTGTGAGGGGACCAAGCAGCCCCCTCCCACAGCTTAGCCTGATCTTCCTCTCCAGTCTCCTATGACATCTGCCGGCCGGACCACTCAGTGCTGACCCTGCAGCTGCCTGTCATGGCCTCAGTGAGAGAAGTGATGGCAGCATTGGCCAAGGAGGACAGCTGGACCAAAGGGCAGGTGCTGGTGAAGGTCAACTCTGCAGGTGGTGAGTTGTGTCTCTGGGTAGGGTGGCCCCAAGGAGGGGTGGGCCTTAGAGCCATATCTAGATGCCCTGAATTAAGATCATTATCATCTTTATCATCATCAGTGTTAATGATGGCTGATGTTTATGGGAGGTTGATGATGTCTCTTCAAAGTGCTTTATGTGTGGTGCTCAACAGCAGGAACTCTGGAGCCTGCTGCACTTGACCCCAGTCTTTAGCCCCCTGTCTGTAGGCTTTTGGGCAGGGTTACTTTATCTCCCCCATGCTCTGTTTCATCATCTGGAACATCAAGTGGGGATGATAAGAGTGCCCGCTTCATAGAGAGTTGTGAGCACTAAATGAGCTTGTCTGTGGAAGTGTTTAGAATGATGTCTGGCACATAGCACTCTGTAGGTATTAGCTGCTACTATTATTATTATCATCCTTATGTATTCATTTAATCCTAATAACAATCTTATGAGAGAGGTACTTTTATCCTATTTTCAGATAAGGAAACTGAAGCTCAAGGGGATTAGGCAATTTCCCCAAGTTCATATAGGGAGAGTATTGCTAGCCTTTGAATTTAAGTAGTCTTCATTCATAAGTCAGTCAGCAAACATATTTGAGGGTCAGCTGTGGGCCAGCAATGTCTTAGGAGCTAGAGGTGCCATGGCAGGTAAGATAGAGCAGCTTGAGATGGTTAAGAGCATAGACCGTGGACTCTCAGACCTATATTGGAAGCTGAGATTCATTGCTTCCTAGCTGTGTAATCCTGGGCAAGCTGTTTAACCTCTTTGAGCCTCCATATCCTGTCTGCCAAATGAGCACTATAAGTGAATGTATCACACAAGACCCCTGTGACTATTAATGAGATGCTATGTGTAAAGCGCTTAGCATGGAGCCTGGCACAAAGTCAATGCTTAGAACAGGGTGGCAAAAGGGTTGTTAAGACCTGCCTTTGGAGACCTGGGGATGTTAAAAACCACTGTTGTCTGTGAAGAATGCAGCCCAGGTCTGACAGTTGGAGCCCAGGGTGGGCTGGAATTAGAGACATCCAGAGAATAATAGTATGGAGTGGAGACAGAAAAGCAAAGCCTTCTCCCTTCAGGAAAAGGGATGAGAGGATGAGGTCACCTGTGCCTTTGTGCACTCTGGGAAGCATTGCCCTCTGGTGGCCACCTGGAGAGTTGTGGCTGCCCAAAGCCAGTATTTATTGAAACCCTTCTGTGTGCCAGGCACTGTTTAGTGCACTGATCTCAAGATTGTTTTGATCGATACACTTGTCAGTAACCAGTATTTTACTTAAACCCCCTACTATGTGTATATTTGCTTATAAGTCACATACATAAATTCTTACACTACCATTATGTCATTATAAAGCTGCACACAAAATAGAGAAGCAAAACATGAGAAAAAGAAATTCAAATAGAAGAGCTAATATTTTTTCCTAGACACATGGATGGCCTTGTGTACCTTACTTTGGAGTCTGGGGACTCATACATGGCTAAAAACACAGTCCCAGTCCATAGGAGCTGATGAAAATCGACACCAAGACTTCTCTAAGGCATTTCCCAATTTTCTAGAGCTTTTACATATATCACATACTTATAGCCACTATTTACATAAGTTACTTTATTTGATTGTACATAGTCGGGGCAAGACTTATTGTCTCCATTTGACGGAGGAAGAAACTGAGGCTCAGGAGGGCTCCCACTTTGCCCAAGATCTTCCTGTCTCACTAAGCATCCCCTCTCATCCTCCTTGAGTATGCGTCCCTGGTCAGGGTGGATGCATAGGCACATGCACCTGTGCATTTAGAGCACCTGCCCAGGTGTCCAACCCTGATATTGGGAGAAGAGACCTTCCAGCCTCCCAAAGGGATCCTGCACCCTGCCTCCAGCTATTTCCTGGCCTCACTCCTGTCCCCACCCAGCACAGCCTCTGCTCTCTTTGCAGATGCCATTGGCCTTCAGCCAGATGCCCGTGGTGTTGCCACATCCTTGGGGCTCAACGAGCGGCTCTTTGTTGTCAACCCACAGGAAGTACATGAGCTGGTAGGGATAGGCAGTGTGCCAGGGCCCAGGGAGGATCTGTGTTTTGTGGGTGGTTGGGGTGGGTGCTGAGGGAGGTTCACAGAGAAGACAGAGGGGGTCCTGGCTCTGGCTGCTGCTGGGCCTTAAGTGGGAGGAAGGAGTGGGCCTCAGCTGATGGGGGAGTCCAAAAGGTGGGGGAGGGGAAGAGCTAGTTGGGAGCTCTTAAGGAGAAGGAAGAAGGAAGACCTGCCCTCATTAGGGGTTCCCCAGGGGACAGGAGCCCTACAAGGAGGGAGTCCCAGCACTGGGGAGCTGTCAGGAAGATGCCTCCTTGGGAAGCCCCATCGTTCAGAAGCCCCTCCATTCCCCGTAGCACCTTTGTGCTCCCCAGCACTCTTCTGATCATGGGCGCAGAGTCTGTCTGAAACTCCTTCCTCCAACGTGGCACCTTTTCCCTGGATCTTTTGAACACCCCCTGAGTACTCTCCCACTTGCAGACACCACATCCAGAGCAGCTGGGGCCCACTGTTGGCTCAGCCGAGGGGCTAGACCTGGTGAGTGCCAAGGACCTGGCAGGCCAGCTAACGGACCATGACTGGAACCTCTTCAACAGTATCCACCAGGTGGGGGGAGCAGAGCTGAGGGGAGGAGGGCAGGTGGCGGGGCACCCTGCCTGGTACACACTGATCTCCCATGCTGCCTCCCATCCAGGTGGAGCTGATCCACTATGTGCTGGGCCCCCAGCATCTGCGAGATGTCACTACTGCCAACCTGGAGCGCTTCATGCGCCGCTTCAATGAGCTGCAGTACTGGGTGGCCACGGAGCTTTGCCTCTGCGCTGTGCCTGGCCCACGGGCCCAGCTACTCAGGAAGTTCATTAAGCTGGCGGCTCAGTGAGTGCCTGCAGGGGTCTAAGGGATGTGTGGAAGAGTCCTGAGGCCACTTTTTATTAACCCTGCCCCCGTCCCTGGTCTGTATGTTGCCAAATCTGCTATCCCCTTGCTTCCCTGGGTCCCCTGGAACCTCTGCCTCCCCATCCCATCCGTCCAGCCCCAGGCCCCTCGGAGGCCTCAAGCCTGTCTATTGTCTGGATGTGGGGCTCTGTGGGTGTGGCTGTGCCCCCTGAGGGTCTCTGGGTCTTCTACCTACAGCCTCAAGGAACAAAAGAACCTTAATTCCTTCTTTGCTGTCATGTTTGGCCTCAGCAACTCGGCCATCAGCCGCCTGGCGCGCACCTGGGAGGTAGGTGTGACTTGGAGGGGTCGGCCAGGGCCTCACCCCCCCGCCCAAGGTCAGTCCCCATGCTTGTCCTGGGAGTCCTGTTGGGGAAGGGGTTCCCATCTGAGAGCAGTGACAGCTCCATCTGCCTCTCCTTCTCAGCGGCTGCCCCACAAAGTCCGGAAGCTGTACTCGGCCCTTGAGAGGCTGCTGGTGAGTGTGGGGCCTTGGCTTCTCCCTCCAGAAACCCTGATTCTTGGCTTCTCAGCAGCCCCTCTACCTGTCTTTGGTCACTTCCAGGATTCCCAGCCCTGGGCCAGGGACCGGTTCCCTTTGGCCTGTGAGTTTGGGAAGCTGGCTGAGGATTGGGGTATTTAGCATATTGGGGATGGGGTGGGGACATTTGCTGTGGCTGTGAGGTCCTGTGTGAAGAACCAGGATAGGGCCCTGGGGTCTAAGGTGCCAAGGGAGCATCAGGGGGAGTCTGGTCTCCAGCTGACCTGCCTCAGGACTCAGGAAGCAGGTCCAGGCACCAGCATCCACAGTGTGTCAGGGTCTGTCAGCGGCCTCTCAGGAAACTTGACTAGCCTATGGTCTAGACAAGGTCAAGAGATGAGTAAAGAGTTGAGGAGCTAAATGCTCAACCCCCAGGAGTTATTATTATTATTTTTTTGACAGTGTTCAGGAGAAAACTGGCACAGAGATGCTTTTATCAGCATCATTCTGGGAGCTCTTGAGAAAAAAATTCACCTCATGTGGCTCAAGAGTTTCAAAGGGATTTACCCACGAGACAGAGAGAGAGAGAGAGAGAGAGAGAGAGAAAGAGAGAAAGAGAGAAAGAGAAAGAGAGAAAGAGAGAAAGAAAGAGAGAGAGAAAGAGAGAGAGAGAAGGAGGAAAGGAGAGAGGGAGAGGGAAAGACCCATGAAACTTTAGGGCCCCCATGACTAATGGCCATGAAGCTTCCTTGGGGGCTAATTGGAAGCCAGGAAGCCCCGTGCACACATGGCCTTTCCGCCTGCTGCAGATCCTGCCTTGTTGAGATCTGGGGCTGAGGAGAAGCTGAGCTCCGAGGGGATGGGCATATGGCCCTCCTTGTTGGCATGGGACATTTGGTTGTGTTTTGGTGTAAGGTGGGTTATGGCGTAGGGGGCCTGCCTTCTCTCACTGTGGCTTCTTCCTTTCCAGGACCCTTCATGGAACCACCGAGTCTATCGACTGGCCCTCACCAAGCTCTCCCCGCCTGTCATCCCCTTCATGCCCCTTCTTCTCAAAGGTAAGGGGACCAGCGCTTACCTTCCAGCCTCCATTCCATCCACCCCAGTGGCTGTCTGTATGTCCACCTAATATTCTCTGAGTGATTCCAATATGCGGATACCGTGGGGAGCACAAAGATGAATTAGGAGTTCACAGGCTAGAAGCAGAGTTAGGACATACAAATAGATATTGGTGACATGAGATACAAGGACATTGCTCCAGGAAGTCAAAGGGAAGCCAGAGGAAGAGGGCAGTATGGGGGTGGGACAGGCCTGAAGCTCCCCATTATTGACCCCTCACCTTTCCTGGGCTGCAGAAAGGGGAAGGAGTTTGGGGACCTTTGAGCAAAACCCAACTCTTTGCAGACATGACCTTCATCCATGAAGGAAACCATACCCTGGTGGAGAATCTCATCAACTTTGAGAAGATGGTGAGTTCAAGGAGAGCTGCCACTGGTATGGGTTGGAGGATATGACTATGGCCTTGGAAGGGGCAGGGGGTGGGAGAGAGGTTAATGTTATTAATAATATAAATATGAATGCTTATTTTCAAATAGCCCCTGCCTTATTCCATTGTATACTGGAGGGCCTGGTCTCTATTGCGGGGTGCTGGGGTGATAGCTTCAACTATCTCACCCTTCAGCGAGAGTCCCTCCTAGGGCTCTCCCTCTCTAAGCCCTTCTTGACCTCTGTTCTTTCTGCTACCTGGTCCCCGCTGGGCCTCTGTGTGCGTTGGGGCAAAGCAGACACGACCCCACCTCTTACAGCCTCCTAGTCTCTAGGAGCACCCTGCTCAAAGGGAGTTTGGGTCCCCAGCTGCCCCACAGCCCAGGCCAGGCTTCTGCTCTCAGGCCTGGTCTCACATCCTTGACTCGTCCACAGAGAATGATGGCCAGGGCTGTGCGGATGCTGCACCACTGTCGAAGCCACAGCAATGGTGAGAGGACTGGTCCCCCTGGGTAGGAGCCCCCCAACAATATCCCCTTCGTGGCTACAGCTTGGCCCCGTCTCCTTGACTCTCTGCTCTCCCCCTCCCCAGTGCCTCTCTCACCGCTCAGAAGCCGAGTCTCCCACCTCCATGAGGACAGCCAGGCGGTGAGGATTTCCACATGTGAGTAGAGGCAGGGTGGGTACTAATGACTTAGCCATGGCTGGCAGGTACATTATGTACATTACACCGATAACTTCACGTCATCTCTGTGAGGCAGGTAGAACGTTATCCCAACTTAAAGATGAGCAAACAGGCTTGAACGTTGAGATGACTTGTAGAAGGCCACACTAGTTAGCAATAGAACTACGACCCAGGCCGTCTTACTCCAAACCTGCATTTTTAAAATTGGTGCCTCAGTTGCATGAAATGGGGTTAATCACAATCCACAGTTCATACCACACTGTCATCATTAGCCCTTTATTTTAGTATGTATGCATTCTTATAATATGGCCATCTCTGGACCCTATCCAAGGATGAGCGCACTGACAATAATGTACATCTCTCAATGTGATGTCCCCTCTCCTGTCCCCTTGTCTCCTGGCCCATGGTATCCACTGCCCTAAATTTTGAGTTATCCATTTCCCTATTTTTAAAAATAGATTTATCATATATGTACACACATATACATGCATGTATATCTTTAAAATGACATTTTAGTTTTAGTTGTTTTTGAACTTCGTAAAAGGGGTATTATGCTCTATGTAGTCATGGGGACCTGCTTTTTGAGTCTGTGCTCTTAACCACAGTGCTTTTTTGCCCCCAGATCAGTGGGAGGCAGGGGCAGCAAGTGGCCAGATGGGTGGTAGAGGGCAAGAAGGCCTGTTTGCTCCTTAGAGGAGGAAGGAATGGGCTCTGCAGAGTGGTGTCGGTGCCCTCCCTGACTGCTTCCCCCTGCCCCCAGGCTCGGAGCAGTCCCTGAGCACCCGGAGTCCAGCCAGCACCTGGGCTTATGTCCAGCAGCTGAAGGTCATCGACAACCAGCGGGAACTGTCCCGCCTCTCCCGGGAGCTGGAGCCGTGAGGAGTGGGCTGAGGCTGGAGCAGGCACTTCCTGTTGGCAAAGTCGTGGCACGCCCGGGCCAAGGGGCCCGCAGGCTGGCCACAGCTGGGCAGGGCTCTCCGCGGAGTGGACCTGAGGCCCTGGACTGGGCAGCATGGAGGCAGCCGTCCCTTGTGATGATTGGCCACCAAGGAGGACCTCTGAGTGGAATGATCCGGGGCCCAAGGCCAAGGAATGGGGGACAGAGAGGCCCTGGAGTGGGTGGGAGAGCGGAGCAGGCGCTGGGACTCTGTTCAATAGAGAGCTCTCCACACCAGGTTTTTTCCAGATTCTGTGCCTTATGGCTTTGTTGTCCATCCATCTCCTGGCCCCTGTGGTTTGTTTTCCGAATGGACTGGGAGAGTGTCTGCATGTGTGTGGCATGTGTGTGGCAGGGGCAGGGCCGGTTGTGGAGAGGGCATGGGAGGGGAGGGGGGCCGTTCTGCTTTTCTTTCCATAGCATATGAGATAAACAGCTGGGTGTGGTCAGGGCTGTTTGTGCAGGAGTGGTGGTCCCTGAGGAGCCTTATTGTTACCGTAAATTAACAGAGCTGCCTGTGTTCTGAGGCCAGCCCTGTAGGGGTGTGGCAGAGAAGGCTACGAGCGGAGGAGGAGGTGCCGTGCCCTGGAATGGACCCAGAGAGGCTGACGGAGCAGCCCCACTGCCTGTGCGTGGGCTCTGGGACCAAGGCAGGGTTCCGGGATGGCTGGCTGCTGTATAAACCTAATTCCCTCTGGTCACGGCACCTGCCAGAGCCTGGAGCCCCTGTCAGTGGCCAGCAGCATAGCCCTCAGCTCTTCTCGGTGGTCTGAGAAGACTGCTACAGCCCAGCTCCTTCCACATCCTCCTCCGGCTCCACTTCCTGTCCCTCTGCTTAGAGAGTACATCGCCCTGTCCAGAGGAGCTCACGCTGGACTGAGGCCTCCAAGAGGTAGCCAGGGATAGAGAGGATACCGAAGCAGAGGCTTCTGAGGGGGGCCCATCCCTTGCTGAGGCCTACCAGGCTTTCAGGTGGTCAGGATATCTGTCGGTGATGAGAATGGTCCCAGAAAGCTGTCAGTATTAAGTCCTCTCTTCAGCATATCCCAGGGGAACCGGGTACTTCGAGGACCCCTCCTGCCCAGCGAGCTCACCCGATGAAGCTCCGGTAGGGCCTCCCTCCTCTCTGTTCCCTGTGGCACTGAGCCTGGTAAGGGGAGGTCCACCGTCTGGCCCCAAGAGGAACCCCTCAGCCTTGGGATGACCCTGGAGTAGGTACTAAGCAGCAGGACCCAGGGCATATGGAGGAAGCGGGGCCCGTACTTGCTTAGCAGGTACATCTGCCAGAGCTCAGGCTGAACACATTCCCGCCTCCCTTCGCCCCTACACTGCCAGACGGCCCATCCCTGTGCTCAAGGAGACATGCAAACTGCTTCTGGAAAGCATCAGGACTCTTAGCAGGAGGCGGCACAAAACTGGGATTAAAGCTCAGGTGTCTGAGTGAATCAGAACATGTCAATGAACAGTTCTCTGCCTCTATTTCTCTATCTGTAAGATGTGTGTGATGATCTCAGTCCAGTTCTTAGTGACAAACCAGTCAAATTGCAGCCCTGCCTCTGCAGCTGAGGTGACAGCCACGGGCAGTCCCGTGTCTTAGACTTGACGGAGGGGCACCATTGCCTTGGGTGAAGTTGGGCAGAGCCCACTCCCCAGGGAGGGCCTGGAGTAGAGCAGGCGATGGGGGTAACCAAGCCAGTTCCCTTGCCTGTGGACGGAGATGAAGTACCACTGGGCACAGAAGCTTCCAGAGCTGAGCAGTCACAACACGAAGCTTCAGCCTTGGTGAGTCAAACTCCTAGGGGCTTTCTGCTCTTCTAAACCCATTCATTGTCTGTCAGGGTTTCACCAGGACCAGCCAGCTGGCTGTGGCCCTTTGCCATCTTTCCTTTCAGACTCAAGGGCGAGACCAGCCCTGTAACGATGGGAGCCAAGCAAGGTGGGGGCCAGTGTCCCCATCAGCAGTTTTTCTTTTCTTCTTTATGGTCACACCTACATCCTGATGGAACTTTGGCAACTTTTGGATCTCCCTTCAGCCTTGGACTGCCCTGCAACCTCCCAGCTGCTTCATTCTCTTGGGTGGGACACTTTTTGAGCCAGTTGGGAGAGGCCTTGTCAGGAGAACAGTGCCCAAGATGGCAGAAGGAAGGACACACTGGGTGCCAGAGGCTCCAGCGACTGGGCTGAGTCATCTCAGAGGAGGGAAAGGCTCCAGGCCATAGTGACTCTTGCTCTGAGGGTTGTGTCACCTTCTGTCTCCTTGATTGCCCGTGCAGGGGTGGGTGGGGTAGCCTCTTCTCGTGTCCTAGCAGCCCAGGCTGTGTGTAGGGGGCTTCCAGTGTGTGTCCCAGCTTCAGGAGAGCTGTGATAGGAGGAGGAATTTATGGGATTGTTGGGAGAAAAAAGTGTGAGATCAAGCCTTAAAAAAGGTCCCTTACCTAAAAGGAGATAAAGCAGAAAATGTGTATATCCTATGGGAGAGAACAGAATGGACGAGTAATTCCTCCTCGAATACGCATACGTCCCTGCTCCTCCTTTACCCTCTTATCCTTAGCTTCTCTGTGCAGGCCTGGGGCAGGCTGGGGCCAGGCCAGGACTCTAATTGTGGGGTGCACACCAGGAAGAGGCACACCTCCAGCAGGCTGAGCAGGATCTGGTGAAGGGGTAGGGCAGGCTGGGGAGCCCTGGCTCTGGCTGCTCCAGCTTCTCTCCCTGGGATCCAGCCCTCCCCTCTATCCCCAGTCCCTTCCAAACAGGTCAGACACTGAGATGGTGATCCAGCACCCTCCACCCCACTATTCTCAGTGTGGAGTTTGAGCTCGAGGGTGGGGGAGCGTGTTAACCTGCTTTCACATTCCTGGTGGCTTTTGTGTTCCCAAAAGCCCTGGGCCTCTGGCTACTCTGCTTCCCAAGCTGCAAAGATTAATCTTCTTAATATTGCTGTTATTCCCAGTATTTATCTTGCTAATAGATTTGAATAGTTTTCATCCTTTCTAGCACACTTTCACTTCTATTATCTTATTTTTACCCTGATGATAGGGCAGGTATTTTTACCCCTGTTTACAGTCAACGATACTGAAGCACAGAAAGATTTGCCTAAGGTCACATCACTGGTCAATAACAGGGTGGACTGGTGAAGGAGCTGGATGTGTTTCGGCCATGTCCACACTGTGGCCTTGCTCACCCATGACCTTTCCTCGTGCCCTCGACACTCCAGATGTAATCTCCCTGAACCCCAGCATTTTATAGACCCAGGCATATACATTCCTCTCTCCCCTCCCTGCTCCCCCTCTTCATTTTAGAATACTTACTGTGGGCCTGATAGGGGCTCTGTGAATGAGACAGGCAGTCCTGGTCCCTCAGGGAACAGACCACCCAGCAGGCAGATACCTGCAGAGTAAGGCCATCAGAAGGCACAAGGTGCCAGAGGGCAAGTCCAGAGAATCGTAGATGCCTCGGGCTGCAGGGTCTCACTGCTCACCCCCCAGCATTTAGGCCCACAGATGCTCCCACGTTGGAATGCAGGTTCATAGCCCATGTCACCATGTTCCCGCAGAGCCCTGCACACTAGCCAGCAAGGCTCTGCCTCCTAGAACTGAGGGTGTTCTCAGCTCCACAGTGGTACAAGCTACCAGATGTTCTGAGTATCAGGTATGGGGGTTGACAGCTGGGGCAAACTCTCTGACCTGTCAGTCCTTGATCCCTCCCTTTGTTCCCTGGACATATAGGCCAGAACGTAAATACTTTTTCAAAAATGTGTTCTTCTACACAAAGTTCTGGGTTTCTCACACATTTGCCAGAGCTATGAACTTGAACTAAGTAAGTGCCCACACAGGCCTGTCTGGTTGCCCCAGCCAATTCTGGACACCCTCTCCAAGGTTCTGGGCTCTGTAAGACCTGAACCTTGCCCTCCTGCTGCCCAACCTGACAGAGTACCTGGGGATGAAGAGGCTTATTTCCCGGGGGACGGGCTGCTGCCATCCCTCCCTCCCGGCAATGATGAAGGCGGATCATTCTGAGAAGCTGTGTCCGGGGGACGGGCTGCTGCCATCCCTCCTGGCAATGATGAAGGCGGATCATTCTGAGAAGCTGTGCTTTGAGAGCTTTGGGTGTGACTCAGTTGTGCTTCAAGAGTATCTTCTCTCCCATGCCTGGGGCCCTTCCTGGGCAGTGGCCTTAATGGGGCCAGATGGGGCTGCTGCTGCTGATGGTAGGTGGAACACTGAGGAAGGAGAATGGTCCCAGTGACACCCAGTGACAAGGAAGAAGAAGGCTGGGCTCAGCCCCGGCCCACTTTTTTTTTTTTTTTTTACAGGAAGGTGTGAGATTCTGGTTGCTTGTGTGTGTTTAGATTCTGACCAGTATGGATCCTGGGCCAGGATCCTAGATGCTTAGGGCTTTGCCTGACTCTGCCATGCTCTTGGTTCTTGGGAAGCTCTCAGGGCCTCAGTTTTCTGGCTGGGGTATGTGCTGTGGGCAGCCAGAGCTGTTTCCAGGTTGCCGAGTGGAAGAGAGCACAGGCTTCCTGGCACTCAGGGGACTCCAGCCAGCAGAGGGGTAGAGAGAGGGTGACATTTTTCTGGGGCCAGGACATTTTAAGCTTCTTCTGCCTTCCAGAAAAGTGTCCTGTAAACCAGAGCTTGAGGTGGCATAGGTGGGTATCAGGGTGGTCCTCCCACACTGAGCAACGTGTGGGGTAGAGGAGCCTCAGCCTCAGCAGCCATGTGGCCTTGGGCAAGTTCCTTTCTCTCCCTGAGCCTCAGTTTTCTTACTTATAAACAGGGTTTTGGACTAGAAAAGTTTGGCGATGTGATCCTGCAATGAATGGCTATGACTTAGGCAGCTCAAAGCAACAAAAGACGTGCGGGGACACAGACCCCTCTGAGCATCTTCCCAGCAGTGGCCTCCAGCCAGACTGTACATGGGAAGTTTTATTAGAAGGGTTCTCAGAGTTCCCTGGCCCTAAATATTGCCTTCGATAGCCTCCTCGAGTTCTACTTAGCTGTGGAAAGCCCCTTGTTGTGTAGATATATAACTTGGGAGGATTTTAATGGTCACTTTAAGGAGGAGAAAAGGAAAGGAAGAGCCTTGAAGCAATGGCGTTAGGGAATTTGTCATGAGGGGCAAGATTCAGAGTATTCCTTAGGGCATATTGCAAGGGCCCTGGGTAGCACAGGGTACCCCCAGGAAGAGAATTAGAGGAAGAGGTAGGTGGCCAGTTTTACCCATTCAGCTTTGCTGGGGCCTGGCCCTACAGGGACAATCTGTGTGCTGCAGGGAGAGC